AAATTAATATCATGTTTTCTTTTTCTCATCTTCCAAGGCATTATAATCCTAAGTAGAACTTTAAAGGAATAGTTTTGAATATTTAAAGGATTAATTTGCATATTATCTTTTATACCCGTGATTACATAGTAATTTTTGGTAGGTTTATGTTGTTCAGAAAAATTTAACATGAATGTGTTTTCTGGTTGATTTAATCCCTCAATTAATATATCTTAGTTAAAATATGACAGCATCTTTTTTATACGCCCAGTATATTAGTTTGTTAGGGCTACTCTAACAGCCTGAGGAGATCCTATTGGTTTAGTCCTCTTCATTGTAGCTTTGCCCTTGGAGTCATTCTTTGTTTCATCCTGTCTATCTCTTTTAGTCCAGGCTGGCAGCATTTCTGCTAGTATAAAATTCTCAAAAACTGTGTTGGTCTCTTGTGCAATTCATGGGTGCCCAAGCCATCAGACAGGAGGGTGTTTCACACATCTTTCCTGGATAACAATGTCTCCATTCCTGACTTCCGCTGAGATGGTTGATTTCATTCATGAATCTCATGCCTAATCTCTTTAGCAAATGTTTGTCCACTCAAACCATGGGCCCAGTCTCCAGAGCACACTCTGTGGGTGGGCTGAGAATTTTCTGAACTGGTTCCATTTTGCTTAACAGTCCTTCATCAGTTTATTTTTTTCCTTTCCTTTCTTACAATAACCAGCAAAGAAAACAAGGCTGCACCTTCCATACTTTCCTTGGAAATCTCCACAGCTACATATCCAAGTTCATTACTTACAAATTCTACCTTCCATGCAACAGAAGAAAGTTATTCTGCCCCTTCATAACAGACGTCACTTTTCCTCCAGTGTCCGGTACAATCCTCCTCATTTCCATCTGAGACCTCACCAGAAGCTCCTTTAACAAAGTTCATATGTCTTGCAACATTCTGTTCATGACTACATATGTATTGTCTATGATAATGGAAGCTTTCTTTACTCTTCTCCTCTCCAAAGCTACTTCCACAATCTTAGGTTTTCGTTACAGCAGTACCACACTTCCTTGTGCCAAAATTTATGTTAGTTTTCTAAGTCCGTGTTAGTTTCCTAAGACTGTGGTAACAGAGCACCTCAAACTGAAGGGCTTACAACAACAGGAATTTATTGTCTCGCAGTTCTGGAGGCTGCAAGTCCAAAACCAGGGTGCCAGCAGGTCTGTCCCCACTGTGAGATCCTCTTTCTGATGGTGTAAGTTAATCCCTGGTGGTCCTTGCCTCGTAGATGTCTTACTCCATTCCGCACCTCCATCTTTACACAGCCTTCTCCCCTGTGTGTCTGTGTGTGTCTCCTCTTTTCTGATAAGGACACTAGTCCTGTTGGATTAAGGACCCACTCTACGCCAGTAGCTCCTTAAGAAATTACTTCTGCCATAACTCTATTTCCAAATAAGGTCACATTCCAGTGTCCTGGGGCTTAGCATTTCAACATACCTTTCAAAGGCGACACAATTCAATCTGTAACACCCACAGAACAACTGTAATAGCCACATCAAGTGCCTCTAGGCTTGTTGTCTTATTTTAAAGTATTGTTTCCTATGAATAGTTCCTTCCTAATTGTCATTTAATTGTTATAAATAGGCTGAAAAGCAGAATAATTTCACACATTTTTACATGCTTTCAAAGCCTTCCTTACCAGATGTTTGCACATGAAAGCATTTTTTTTTTCATAATTAGTCAGCCTGTGTGTCACAAAGAAAATATGTTAAAGTAATACTTCAGTTTGTGTGTTTTGTTAAGAATTAACTGCTTATTTTATTAATCATATATTGTGGTTATATGAAATTTCCAATCCTGCAATTCAAATGACTAACTTAGTGTTTTCTGTCTTAGAAAGTTGCTGACTTTTAAAAACATTTTCACCTTTAAATTAGATTGCTGGTTTTCAGTATAAATAATAGAGAGCGTGAATTTGACTTCCTGGGAGACAGGAACAAATAATCATGATTCTGTGTAATAAGTGAAGTATGGAAGAATTCAATGCATTCAGACTCCTGACAATTCTCTTTAAATTTTGACTTAGGATTTTTAACTAATATATATGTTCTTAAAAGGAGTAGTAAGAGTAGCCATTCTGATTAGTATGTTGACTTCGTAACAGAAATAGTTTGCTTGAAACGTATTACCTATTATTGGTTGTTGCTCTTTGTACCAATATATAGTGTGTAAGTTTCTTTATTTCTAAATGAGACTATTAATGTCTTCCTTTCCTACTGATAGAGCTATGTAGTGCATTCTCTTAAATGATCTCATTTAATCTTCATAGGGGTTTAGATGAGTGTTATTATTTGTCGGTGTTAACAAGAGTAGGTTTTCTCTGTGCTGCTGAAATATACTCTTTTTCCTTTTTTTCTGAGGAAGATTAGCCCTGAGCTAACACCTGTTGCCAATCTTCCTCCAGTTTAAATGTGGGACACTACCACAGCATGGCTGACAATAGTGTAGGTCTATGCCCAGGATCCGAAACTGTGACCCCAGGCTGCTGAGGCAGAGCATGCTAAACTTAACCACTGTGGCACGGGACCAGCCCCTGAAGTTTTCTATTTTTGACTCAGCATTTGTTCCTTCATTATTTTGGGTATTTTATGACTCTTTTTAAGATTTAAGTTGAGGATAGCACATCTATTATACTTACAGAGAGTCAAGCAGTCAGTTGAGTGGTAGATCTTGTTGCATGTTTACGAAATTCCAGACTTCTGGGAGAGGGGAATGGGAAGTTAAAATGTGTGAGACAGATTTCTCCCACTCCAAGGAAACTTATAGTGTCTATATTGTCCACTCCTTACTTGTTCTTCATGAAGCAAATATTAATAACACTGTAAGAAAATAAGATTTCTGCTGATGAACCTAAACTTTTATTTTTTCCTTTCATGAAAGACTTGCATCTTAAACCAAATATATTTAAATTTCTCAGGATCTTCGTTTTCCATATTCCTAAGCAAGATAAGTACAGAAAAATGACTTAGAATTCTCTCTATACCTAAGTGATAATAGAAAGCAGTGCTGTCGATTAATAGTACTCCATTCAAAGGAACAATTGGTACAATTTGCATTCAGTGTTTAGGGTGAATTTTCTTTAGACCGCAGAATGGTGAGCAGGAAGACATTGTGGTAGGAACAATAGTTGTAGGGTAAGGAAGCATGTGGTGCATTTGGGCCCTGGTGACTATGCCTCTTGGGTTGAAGAGGAGTATTCATGTTGACTTGCAGTGGGACAGGAACCTGGCAGTCTCATTGGTGGAGTCAAATCTTGGAGCCCTTGAATGCCTGGCTCAGGAGTTTGGACTTAATTCTAAAGGCAGAGCAGGGTAATTACACCTTAGTGAACTCAGAAATGAAAGATTACAAGATATTTGTGACAAGATAAAGTGACAGCTCTAGACAGCCAAAGAGATGGATTGGTGTTAGGAGAGACTGGAGGCAGGGAAATTAGTTAGCTTTGTTGTGCCAGGATTCAACATCTGACCATGAAGCTAGAAGGATCCTGGTGTAAGGAATTTATGCAGGAGACATTTTAGAGGAAGAATCAATCGTAGATGATGACACTGGATTTCTAGGGGCAGAGGGAAAGGAAGGGATTAAAAAATGTTGACTGTGAATGTAGGAGAATGGAATAATTGTCGTATCGTTGATAACAGAATGTTTGTTGACAGTTGAAGAAGGAGTTGGTTTTAGGCACATTGGGTGGTGAGTGTTTTCTGAACTTTCAAATCATAATGCCTGTCAACATTTGAATTGGGTGTAGTGAAGTTTCAGGCTGGAGATTAAGACTTTGAGATTAATTTGTATGGAGATGATAATTGTATCACCAAAATATTGAGAGACACTGTTTCAAGGCTGTTGTTGAGTCAACCATTCGGTTGCCAGGTGTGTTAAGAAGTGTCAAGGTATATTAGTTACATCTTTTTAGTTTTTTGAAGATTGGCACCTGAGCTAACAACTTACCAATCTTCTTCTTCTTTTTTTTTTTTTTTTTTTTTACTTTTTCTCCCCAAATCCCCCCAGTACATAATTGTATATTTTTTAGTTGTGGGTCCTTCTAGTGGGATGCCGCGTCAGCATGGCTTGATGAGTGTTGCCATATTGGCACCCAGGATCCGAAGTGGTGAAACCTTGGGCCGCCAAAGCAGAGCGCGTGAACCCAACTACTTGGCCACGGGACTGGCCCTTAGTTACATCTTTGAGACGACTTCTGCACCACTCTTTGAATGGTATCTGCCCTGTTGCGCGGAGTATTGGCCTAGACACAATGTAACCTGTGTGAAGTCTTTATAGGAAACTTGATTTGTAAGACACGACTGCTAACTATGTATTCATGAGACTCCAAGTCCAAGTGGATTCTCAATAATGTTTTCTTTGAACTTCTCACCTTAACACTATTCCTTCTTCCTAGTGAATATGTTTGTAGGGGTGGTAGTGGGTAGTTTATGTGATCTAATGTAGAAGAGACTGTTTATTTGCTCCTAATTGTTGGTTGCTTTGTGAGAGCATATTTGTTAATAAACATAATGTGATTAAAATATATCTTGAAGAAAATTCATCTCAACCCATTAGTTAAATTTTTCTAGTCACATTCACTGGCTACTTTTATTCGTTGCCAGCCTAGGTTTTTGGCTTTGCAGATCTTTCACTGTTCAGCTATTCGATAGATCCTTGTGATGGGAGGGGAGTCGTTTTGTTGCAGGCATGCTTTCAAATGTGGTCTCTTTCCTGTTAGTTTTTCTTGGCACACAGTTCCCTCTGAAGTCTATAATGCATTTTAACATATTATTTTACCATTTATAAATGTGAATATACAGGTTGTCACCTTTATTCAGAAGAAATTGAGTTCTTTATTCACTGAATGTTTGAAAATGTAAAACATTATCCTTGATTATGTAGTGACTAAATATTTGTGTATGGTACAAAGGATGACTCTATGTGACTCTGTGTAACTAGCGTAAAGCACACCAACCCCATTGTGTTTCAGTGTACCTGCAGGAAAGACATGGTGAAGATTTCAATGGATATCTTTGTGAGGAAATTTCAGCCGGACAGATACCAGCTTTGGAAGCAAGGAAAGGATATCTACACCATCGATCACACGAAGCCTACTCCGGAATCCACCCCTGAAGTAAAAGCCTGGCTGCAGAGGAGGAGGAAAGTAAGAAAAGCATCCAAGAGGTGATTGTCCCTCCCCATCCCATCCCGCTTGAACCTACTCAATTAAATGGACCGTTGAAAGGAGGTTTTCAAAGACTATTTACTTTTTAAAATTTATTCATCGTAAGTTTGCTTAATATCTTACTGAAAATTTGACGCAAAGTATTTTTAATTCTTGAGAAGTGTAATAAATAAATAGAATGTAGGAAGAGATGTATATTGTGTTTGAGAATATTCCTGGAGTTGCTGTTTATGGCAAATAGAACAATACTGGAACTTCTTAGACCTCTTACACGCAGGTATTTTAAAGTTGTGTTGGTGCTTTCCATTCATCTCCATGCTTTTATTAACTTCAGTAATTTGATTTCCAACTTTTGCATTTTGCTACCGACTTTCTTTCTGACTTTAGTAGTTTTCTTCTGCATTTGTCAAACATGTGAGATAGTTCTTTTCTCCTTGGTATGCCTTTAATTTGCTACATTTTATACGCTTGGTCTTATTCTTTTACAAGATGTGAAGCAGAGCGTGAGTTGTTTCTGTCCGTGGTTGTCCCTGTGAGCTTCACTCTGTATTCTGTTTTTGTGGCCAGGACCATTCCAGAAGCTTCCTGTGGGCATCTTGTGTTTTAAAACCCATCGAACAGGGTTATGTGTTATGTTGCTCAGGTCCTCAGGCAACCTTTTTAGACTCTTACATTTTCCAGGTTTATGTTATATTTTTACTCTCCAATATTACTCACTGATTTTCTTGCGGATTGCAAAAGTAATATTTATGCATTGGAGAAAATTTGTAAAATAAGGAAAAGAATAATGAAGGAATCTCAAATCACCCATAACCTCATAATTCCACAGATAACCAGTGTTAACATTTTATATATATCCTTTACATATATGTTTATTATGTATTATATAATATTATATACCTTTCCAAAATTGGGGCCATGCTCTATTAACGATTTGATGACCAGTTTTGTGAGGTTTTTTTAATGTAATTAAATGATTTGCTATAATGTAATTTTTAATGCCTGCATATATTGACCTAATCCCCTGTATATGGACCTGTAGCTTGTTTCCAATTTTTAACTAAATATCACTGTAATTTTAAATCTTTGCCCACACTTGATGCTTACTTTCTGATTCTCTTTTTTCCTGACATTTATTTTCTGCTGTTTGAGAATGGTAGAGAGCGGAGGAAACTTAAGAGCATGGAGTCAGACTTCTGCATTTTGGAGGAGATGTGCTTGAGGCACAGAACTAGCAGCAGAATGCAAACCAGCTGTTCTTATTTCACCCTATAGTTTACAGCAGGGATTTTCAAACTGTTAGATTTCAAATCAGTTTAGTAGGTTAGGAACAACTTTTTTTTTTTTTTTGAGGAAGATTAGCCCTCAGCTAACTACTGCCAGTCCTCCTCTTTTTGCTGAGGAAGACTGGCCCTGAGCTGACATGCATGCCCATATTCCTCTCCTTTATATGTGGGACGCCTACCACAGCATGGCTTTTTGCCAAGCGGTGCTATGTCCACACCCGGGATCCAAACCGTGAACCCCAGGCCGCTGAGAAGCGGAACATGTGAACTTAACCGCTGCGCTACCAGGCTGGCCCGGAAGAACATTTTTAAATTAGGAAGTAAAATAGAATAAAAAGTATCATAGTCCTTCTCATGTGGTAAGAGTAAGTATTAATCCATGACGTGTGTGAGCATGTGTGTGTGGGTGCGTTGTGTCACCATCTAAAATGTCTAACTAACTATGGGTTGCATTCAGAAAAGCTTGGGAAACACTGATTTAGAGAGTCATGCCTTTGATAAATGTGTTAATTCACCTTACCAAAAAAGCCAGCTGTGGGAGGAAGCAGTGGTCAATCTTGAGTTCAAAAGAAACACCAATAGAATATCTTGAGAATTGTTCTTTAATGGACAGAAAGCATAATACTCTAATTAGGTGGATGATCTGGTCTCCTAGTTACTAACCATGGTGGTCCTTGTTGACAGAGAATGTAGATTTATGACATTGAACAGATTTGAAATGCCGTTCAGTAGGTTAAAATAATCAATGGACTTTGTTCACCCAGTTAGAAAGCCTCTTGTTAAGGGGCTTGTTGATTATGCTCAGCCCTGTGGTTTGATCATAGAGTTTGCTGATCTCCCTTAAGTGATGCTTTATCTGGGGAAATCAAATGAAAGGAACAGTTCACGGAAGTCTCGGAGAGATGTCAGCCATCTTATTTTACATGTACTATGCTATTCATAATGTGAAGATTTCCGCATGGGCCAGTGCATGAGTTCTCTGTAAAAGTGATACTGGTGTTGATGATACTGGTAGTATTTGTATCAGCGGCAGACAGAGCTAGTTTACATAGGTTATCCCTTGCTACCCTCTTTATCTCAGATCTCTGCCCTTCCTGACTTCCCACATTTCTTAGTATTGTAGAGTTTTCTTGTGTGTGTGTGTGTGTGTGTTGGGGTATGTGTATGTGTTTTTGGGCACTGAAATACACGTTGCTTTGCTTTGAGTTGTAATTTTTCCTAAATGAAAGTGTTAGGAATGTGTCATATACAAAAAGTATCTATGACAAAGCTATCAAGTGACTTGCTGGAAAACACTAAAAGAGGGAAAAAAAAATGGCATCCACTCCAAAAATAATGTTGATATAAGATGTTAAATACATACAGTCAGCCTTCCTCCTCTCTTATTTTCTTTAACTACTGATGATTTGTCGTTTAATTTTAATGATTTTCTTGCATACTTCAAAACTCAGAGATGTGTGGCCACTAGTTCACCTTGGAATATAAAGAATCCACTCGGATTTTAACAACAGCTTTATGAGATCTCATTTCTTTTTCCTTTCTTCATTATCTAAATAATATTTGGTTTATTGATTTGATTTTCCCTCATGTCATCATTTTTCACTTTATTTTTATTTTCAGACTTCTTTTAATATTGTTATAAAATTTTAGCAATGACTTTTCCCCCGATAATGTTTAATGATCAATTATTTGCGATTGTTTTAACTTTAATTTTTAGTAAATTGTTATTAAAACTGTTAAGATTTCAATTTCAAATTTAATCTATTAATTGTGAAGGTTATCTCTGCACAATGATTAAAAAATTATCAGTTTTTTTCTTCTTTCAATAAGTGAAAATAACGCTTGTACTGGTTTGTGTTTTATCCTGTCCATTGCAAACGTTCTGCTCTGACCAGGGCTTTTCTTCTTTATAGCTTCCAGGGCACTAGTTCTCAGTCTAAGAGGCCTAAGAATGAGGAGGATGGGGAAGTGTTGGCTGCAGTCGAGGGGGCAGAGGGCCCCACCTCTGACCCACACCCAGATGACCTCAAGGCCAGTGAAAAGCCAGAAGCAGCAGCGAAACTGGGGAACACACAAGCGCCTTCAGAGGAAGACGCCTCTGCTAGCAGGATGCAGCTGGATCAGAATTCATCAGAGAATATCAGACTTTCAGGTGAGAAACTGGCTAACTACCTTTCACATATAAGTAGGAGGTGTTTGATGAGCTGACGCGTTAAATCTATATTCACTAGGACAGACGTTCTTTTCCACATAGTTTAACCAATAAACTATCTAAAGTTATGGGGTAACTCAACCAAGAGGCCAAGGGAATCTTATAAAAGTCAAGAGCACCACTGTTACATGTAATGACATTGTGAGACAAACAGCCAGCAGTGCCTATTTGCTTTAATAAAAAAGAAGATTCTAAAATGAAATTTTTTGGGGTGCAACTCAATTTACAATATACAATACATTTTTGGAAAGCTTCTCTTGAATTCACATGGAACAGAGGAAACCAATTATAGATAATTCTTTGCAGATTCTTAGCTTTCGACTTAATTTTAAGAAGAAAATAAAGATTAAGGGTTTAAAAAAGAACAACAAAAATCATTCAGTCTTGTGAAATGGTTTGTAGAGTTCCCTGGCTGCTTCTCTGTACCAAAGCCATCATCTGTAAGTCTCAACTACTTTGCGTTTTTGCTCTTTTATAGTGTATTTCTCTGAAACTGCTTTAAAGCTTTGCCTCTTTAATATTTATCGGAGTGTTTGTCCTTTTACTGTAATTCCTATCTTCATTTTATACCCCTCATCCGATCTGTCCTTCAGATGTGGGACTCTCCCCAATCTGGCCACCCCCTACTTCCTCTTCGTTCAAGGCACCATTGTCTCTTGCCTGGACTATTGCAGAAACTGCTTCCCTCCTGTTTTGCCAGTGTCCACTCTAGTCACCTCCGGGGTCAGTTCTCCATATGGCAATCATAGGGAGTCTTTAAAGCGACGTAGCTTACGTCTTGTCCTTACCTTCTTCTTATGCTTATTCCATTTAGAGTAAGGGAAAAAGTCCTTATCGCAGTCCTAATTAATCTGATGCACAGCTGCTTCTTCATCCTCGTTACCTTTTGCTCTTGAAATATTTGTGCTAATAGAGTTTAAATCATAGACTTTTTTCCCAGTGAGTTTATACTTTAATGGAGAGCTAGACAAATAAACATATGATTACAATCCAGTGTGGTAAGTACCATGATAGAGATGGCATAGGATGTTGCTGGTATACCAAGGAAAGACCAAAACAGACAGGAGGCTGGCCTCGCAACGTTTCTTGGAGTAGGTGATATCTGAATTGACTTGTGATAAATAGATAGAAGATAGCAAAGTGGAGAAGGTAGAGAATGGAATAGCAGCAAGCAGTGCATAGAAGGCAGTTGTACAATACGTGTGGGTATTTCTTTATAATCCCTCAGCATAGTTTTTATCACACTGGGTTTAATTAGCCACTTTATGAATTACTGGGTGATTTAGGCCAAGGGCACCCAATTTTCTTAGCGCTGTCGCTGCATGGTTCCTTACATTTTCACCTCCAGGTTTTGAGACCTGGCAGAACACTTGAGTAGAAGATGTGGCTAGGTTCAACATGAGTGCTAGTATGTGATAGGTGAAATGATGCTTCTGTGTGTGTGTGTGTTTGTGTGTAAGGGAGGGAGAAGAGAGACTAGTGATGGCAGTAGAAGAGAAGTACTGGTGATATTCTCCTTTTATGTGCCGTCAGTGTATGATACAGGATTAGTGTAATAACAAGGAAATAATTTTTATTGGATCCTCACAGTTTTACATGTGTTCTTTACGTACATCCTCTGAGTTGGAATGTTTCATCAGCAGCAGCTCTTGGCATCAAATATTGGAATATAATTCTTTTTTTTTTAAAGATTGGTACCTGAGCTAACAACCGTTGCCAATCTCTCTTTTTTTTTTCTTTTTTCTGCTTTATCTCCCCAAATCCCACCGGTACATAGTTGTATATCTTAGTTGCAGGTCCTTCTAGTTGTGGCATGTGGGATGCCGCCTCAGTGTGGCCTGATGAGCCATGCCATGTCCACGCCCAGGATCCAAACCAGCGAAACCCTGGGCTGCTGCAGCAGAGTGCGTGATTTTAACCACTCGGCCACGGGCCGGCCCCTGGAATATAATTCTTATTTTTTTTTTTTTTTTTTTTAAGATTTTATTTTTTCCTTTTCCTCCCCAAAGCCCCCCAGTACATAGTTGTGTATTCTTCGTTGTGGGTTCTTCTAGTTGTGGCATGTGGGACGCTGCCTCAGCGTGGTCTGATGAGCAGTGCCATGTCCGCGCCCAGGATTCGAACTAACGAAACACTGGGCCGCCTGCAGCGGAGCGCGCGAACTTAACCACTCGGCCACGGGGCCAGCCCCTATAATTCTTATTTTTAGGAAGATTTAAAATTGCTGTTGCTTTCGATAATTATTGTTATTGCCCTGGCTTTGACATTGGTCTTACAGTGGAACCATTTTTAAACCCTTTTTTTTGGTCAGTAAGTATATTCTCTTGCCAGACTTCAGCATCTCACTTTAACAACTAATAAGGCTGCATGGTGCTTCGGTGACCTTGCCCACCCATGTCTGGGGAAGTTGGAAGATAGGAATTTAGTTGAGAATAGTTTAACAGTTCTACTCAGCAATAATACAATGCAAAATTTGTTAATAGCCTTTTGTTTTACTCCTCAGGAAACAGCTGCTCAAGCACATCTATAATGGAGGAAACAAAAACTGAGAATGACCAAGCCTGTGTCACAATTCCACCTTCGAATCCCAGTGAGGCTGATAATTCTGCATCTAGTGGCCATGTGACATCTGAGGAGTTAGACCCACCGAAGCTTCCATGGCCAAAGTCACCTGAGTCCTGCTCCTCAATGGCAGAGAGTAACAGCGTGTTGACAGAGGGAGAAGAGAGTGATGTGGAGAGCCGTGGGAGTGGCCTTGAACCTGGGGAAGTCCCAGCTGTCCCCAGTGGAGAGAGAAATGGCTTCAAAGTCCCCACTGTATGTGGCAATGTCCGTTTTTACTGTATTTATTGTGTGGTGAGAGGACTTTTTGAAAATAGCATTCAGTGCATAGAAATCTTGCTTTAGGGCAGAAATAACATTCCACATTTATGAGTCTTAATCATATTTCCTTCGATGACTGGAAGGTAAGCCTTCCGCGAGCTCTGGCTCATGTGGTGACAATTCGGAGAGCATGGAACTTTCCGTCACATGTTGGAGCTTAATTTTCTTTCTTTTTAAATTTGTTTAAAATTAAACTCTTTATTTTGAGACAATTATAGATTCATATGCAGTTGTAGGAAATAGTACAGAGAGTTCCTGTGTACCCAGTTTCCCCCAGTAGTAACTTCTTGGAAAACTATAGTAGGATATCACAATGATATTGACGTTCATACAGTCAAGATACAGAATGGTTCTATTACTTGCAATATTAACCAGACTAGAAATGATTCATCTACAGGGCTTTGACCTCCTCCTGCCAACACTTAATACTCTGGGTCCCAGGCTTCCCATAGCCTGTGTTTTATCATTAGGGCTCACCTGGTCACACTTTCCCCTGACTCTGATTCTAGGACCAGGCTGACCTTTCTGGTCCTGCACACTGCCAGAAGCAGGCCTTTTGCTTCTCAGAAAACTCAAGACCTCTCTTGATTAGTAAGCTCCTGACTCTTTCTATACAGTCTCCTTGTTTCTCATATGTTCTTGTATGATGTTAATATCGTATGCTTTCAGCATAAGCTGTCGCTGTAACCGTAAGATTGTGAGTGGGGCAGGCAGGCTCCGATTGTGTGTAGTGAGTGTCAGAATTCAGCCAGCCTCTTTTGACCTATACAGCTTAATGAGGGAATTCAAGTGGATGAGTGAAGAGAGCCTCAATTGTTTGAGCTGATAAATTGAGCTGGCCGCTGAACAGACCCACTTCTTGATTGCTCCTGCTCACTTCCACTCACCACACGCCTTTTTGCATCTTTGAATAGCAAGGGGGATTAGGTAAGGAATCTACCTGGAATACTCTGTGTATCAGTAGTTTTAAAATGTCAAATAAAATATAGATAATTTCCCAATTTGACCCAACAACATTTATCATTTTATGCATGATTGTATATCGTACTGGACTATAAAGTATTTATCAAAAATGTATGGGAAATAGAAAAATATGGTCTAATTTGTTTGAAAAGATGGCTAAGGGAAATGTGAAAATAGCATTCACATACTAGTAAACAAAATTTACATCTTAATTTCATGTAGGGATTAAATGTAACTGAGCAGATATTGAGATTCTTTGTGGAATGGTGAATGCGTCAAATGCTTGTTTAAATTATCGTTAGTCACATTCTTTGAACTAGAATGGAACTGGAAGTGACTCCCATTTTCTTGCTTTCGATGGAGGCGAGTCTACCCTCAGTGCCTTGACCTTCATCTTTCTCATTTCACTGGGCAAAGACTGACGTTGAGGGCTAAGTGACGTGGTTTGCCCCTTCTCAGAAACACCTTTGTGGTATTTTTTTCTTACACCGTGGTGTCAGACAATCTTTCTAGGTAATGCAGACTCATTTCATTTTTGTGTAGTTTGGCCAGTGTTTCTTAGTATTAAGTGTAATGCTATGTGTATGCTGGTAGCAGTCAGCTTTAGTCAATTTTCTCAAGAAATATGAAGTTATTTGTTGAACAGTGGCTGTCTGCCTGTCTCTCTGTCTGTCTCTACAGGGCTTCATGCTCTCCCTGGAATACACCAAATATGTTCACATTTTGCATGCTATTCCCACCCCCCAAAATACTCCCTCCCCAGAGAGCTAAATATAAATGCTCCCACCTTGCACTCAAGATTCCACTCAGACGTCTCCTTGTCAGAAAGGCCTTCTCTGACGACCCTGTGTAAAATAGCCCCGCCTCCCCATCTCTTTCCATTTGTTTGTCCTGCTGTATTTTTTCTTTATTGCGTATTTGCTTATTGGTACCTGATAAATATTTACTTTTTACTTGTTTGTTGTCTGTGCCCTTCCCCTCTATTGTGCACATTCCTCGAAAGCAGGGACCTGGTGTAATTTTTCCTGCTGTAGCTCAGCTTTTAGAACAGTGTGGCACATAGGAAGGGCTTAATAAATAGTTGCTGTTGACTAAGTTATAATTTCCCACATTGACTTTTAGCTATTATAAACCACAGATAAATCTCACCCTGTGTTACTCTGTCATTTTCGCCCACTCCCAGCTTTCATTAGAATGCTCTCATAGGCTTTCTCATAATCCTGTTTTGGTGTCAGACGCCAGCATGGTTTCTCTCCTTCTGGCTTCTGCTTCTTCAGCTTACAGGGAATTTCTGAGACTCCTTTCTTTCCTAATCAACTGTCGATGCAAACCCACTAATGCAAACTTTCTCTCTGGAACCCCCCCCCCACCCCCGCTTTGGGATTGCATGGACAAGAAAGCTTGTAAGTAGGGTCTATCTGGGAGATGTCAGGGTGCACATGACTTTTTCCTCTAACTTTGAAAGGAAACTATAGTTTGGAGAGCCCAGGACAAAAGCTTTTGTATAAAATTTAAGTGGTTTCAAGATGGCAGTAATGTGCCGTATTAAAAAAGAAAACAAAATTTTTGATTCTTCTTTGGTCTTCAGAGAAGTGGTGATTTATTGCTGAATGGAAGAAGTGTTCAGCCTCAAATTGGCATTATTGCTTTCTTTGTGAGGACAGAGAGCAGGAGAACCTGCCAGGTATTCACATGTGACCAGCATAGAGGGGACCAACTGCCATGGTCCTACGTTGTTATGAATATATAATCCTAAATTTAGATTAGTTTTGAAGAACTTTTGGAAACTTGCTAACTGCTGAGTGTATTGCAACTTGATAAGCCTTCCCTGTACCACACAGATAGTGTTTTAATAGGGAGTGGAAGGATAGTTAATTGATCTCTTGGTAAAATAACTAACAGAATGGATTCCTATTTCTTTTTGCGGTTTAAATTTCTTTAACGAAGGGCTAATTCCCCAGGAGGTAAATAAGCACAAGACTTCTTCATAATCAAATTGTCATAAATTGTTGTGAACCATAGTTTTTTGTTTAAAACGAGTCTTTAACTGTGAGTGTTTTCCCACCATTTTTGTTACTATGACCAGAGAATAGAGGGAGAAACCAAAACTGCTAAAAGTTGGCGCCATCCACTCAGTAAACCTCCAGCAAGATCCCCAATGACTCTGGTGAAGCAGCAGGCAACCAGTGATGAAGGTGAGCTTGTGACTTTTTAAATATTTATTCTGTATATACTGTGGAGTGTTCTGTATTTATTCTGTCAGTTTGTTGTAGCACACTTTTCTAAAACATTGCTTGGTAGGAAATTTGACCAAGTTGCAAATATATACCATAAGGAGATAATAAGTAATAAGCAATTTACAGGGAAAAGGAATTTGGATTTTATGGATAAAACTTGCTTCACATAATATAAAATTGGTCATTTCTGACATGAGCCTTAAGATACTTTAGAAGTTGAGAATCACTTCTCTAGAGGTGTCAAATCATGGAATTAACTGCTATAGGTTTCTTTGCATTGTCTTTAATTTTAATTTGAATCCTTTAAATTTATTAACACCATATTGAGTAAGAAATTACATGCAGTCCTTCCACGTCCTGTTTATACCTGGTGTGTTGGCAAAACATCCTTTCTCCTTAACTAGATTTTACTGATGTGGTTTGACGTGAAGTAGTTCCATTTACAACCAGTTACTATTCCTGGATGTCATATTTATCTGTTTGTTTTACCTGGTTGCCCTTTTTATTTTTCTTTCTCTCTTTTTCTAAAAATGTCTTTTTGTTGCCTTCAGTTAAAAATCAGACCACTGACCAGCTATTTCTTCTTTGAAAGTGTCTCATAAAGTCATGAGGGCCTTCTTTTTTCCATCTCAAAGTCGATTCAAGCAGGTTTTCTGTAAAGAGCCCTTCTTTAAGATAGTCTCCTTTACTGGTAGAAATTGTTAATTAAGCTCATGTGTCTGTGAGGATGGTCTCAGGAGTAACATGAATCTTGGGTTCAAGCTTCTCGTTTAGTTTAAATACATTTGTCAGAGTAGACATGTGTAGCAGATTTTTTCCTTTTATTCACTGTCTTCTTTTATACCCCATATTTAGTTAGGAAGAAAGATCATCAGTGTAGGGATCATGATAATGGTAGGAGTTTCTGTCACACCAGTCCGAGGTGGAATTCTGCCTCTACTAATAGAAATAAGGAAACGTATTTGTGTTTATTTCCATGTATCATCATGTTCAGTTCTTCTTTCTCCTGCTTTATCATACCCAGGACAAACCATTTTCCCCTTAGTGTCAAGATAAAGGACAGTTCTATATAAAGTAATTAATACTTAATGTACATTACTTTTGAATTTTAATTACCTTTCCCCATCACAGCCTCTGTTCAACATAGCTTCTTGCAAGGGAATGGGCTATATGACACATAAGGAAAACTGCCTTCTCTTGTGTCCTTGGTTTCCCAGGTAGTTTATTTTGATGTGGGCCAGTGCAAAATGGCCCAGAGTTTCTCCATGGAGAGCAGTTCTGATTTCATTCAGTGTAGATTGCAAAACTTAAAAATGGATTGGTTTAACCAAGTCATCTCAAGGGTTTGAGGTTAAATATCTTGCTGATACATTGGTGATTGTAGCTTTTGCCACAGTCTCATTCTCTATTTTAATGTGTTAAGGACTCCTGGGGTCCTCTGGGGATTTTTGAGAATTGAAAAGAAAAATTAGAGAATTTTAGTGATGGCTAAAGATTTTTACAAGTTTCTAAACTGATAATGGAGAATATTCTGTGTCCTGGAGTAAATTATTTATCTCATTGGGCACTTGAATGTGAACTCAGCCTTTTGGCCCTGTGTCTTTTGCAGTTGGAAGTGAATGAACGTCATCATTATTAGAAAGTGATGAACAGTGGGATTAGTGCTCATTGGGATCGTACAACTCCAAATCTAGCTTCCGTGGGGGAGTTTTCTACCCTAACTACTGGGCTCCTTTTGCACTCCTCATATAGAGGTAGGTGTGTATGCCAGACACGAGCATAACTGGCTTAGAGCATCTGAGAAATTATGTCTCTAAACAACAGTGTCCTCTATTGGTGAAGGAGCATTTCTCTTTTGAAGCTGGAGTTTGACTCCCAGCAGAAGAGCAGCAAAGGGGAAATTGATCCAGAACCTCTGGGAGCTCACATGCAGCGAGGAGATGAGTCACCTCTAAGCCACTCTTCTCAAAGGACAGTGCACTGGCTCTTTGATACTCAAATAGCCTGAACTGTAGAGATCGTTCTGCTTGGTGGCAGATCCAGTAATTACAGGAGCAGTGAGGATTTCCTGACTCTCAGCCTGTTCTTTCCTGAAAGAAAATTTCCATGCTTAGCCACAAAACACAGGTCTATGGTGGTGGAGCAGCAGGGGTTACATAAGAAAAGAATGATGTGGGGCCGTCCCATGGCCGAGTGGTTAAGTTTGCACCTCCGATTCGACAGCCCGGGGTTTCACCAGTTCAGATGCTGGGTGTGGACCTGGCACTGTTCGTCAAGCCATGCTGAGGCGGCATCCCACACAGCAGAACTAGAAGCACCTACAACTGGGATATACAACTGTGTACTGGGGGGCTTTGGGGAGAAGAAAAAGAAAAAGGAAGATTGGCAACAGATGTTAGCTCAGGGCCAATCTTTAAAAAAACAAAGAAAAGGATGATGTTTAGAATATAGCATCTATACATAAAAACTAGTATCTAATTCTTTCTTTGGTGAAAAAAATCTTAAATGTATACTACATATTTCTTATTTATAATTTAGAAGAAATTACTAACCTGCCTCTGGTTTTCTTTTAACTGGAATATTTTTCAGTTGCACTTTTCCTTGAGTTAGGCAGCTACACTAGGTGATCTTGAAACATGGATTAATAGTCTATATATTTTCCTGTTTATTAAACTAATTATACAGATGTTGAATTGAAACAGACTTGAAAGAGAAGTGCTTTCATTTTATTTTGCTTTTGAAGCGTTCCTTCTGTGTACCCATTCTCCTCCTGTGATGTGTCGCTGTAGTGGCATGCTCCTGTTGTCCCGTTTCAGAGCTTTAGGGTTGAGTGGCCATAGGGAAGGAGGGTGTGTGCAGCGTGGGGAACAAGACAGCTCTGAGAACAGCATTCTTGCCTGCGTCGGAAGGCACAGGGAGCGAGGGGATGAACCCACTGAGGGCGGCAAGCTCAGAAATCCACCGCAGCACTTCTTTTTCTTTGGGTGGTAAAGATGCCTCCGCAAAGGCTCTCACACGTTTCCCTTAAGACTCCAGCTTTGATACGGGTAAGTGACTTTGAGGCCGTCAGGATCCAGTACCAGCTTCTCTCTGCAGCTTCATGTCCCTCAACTATCCTCCATGAATCCTCCTGTCCATCCATTCAGACCAGCTTTCTTTTTCTTCTGGATGTAGTCTGCTGCTTTTATTTCCATGCACTTCCCTGAACTGTTGCTTTACCTCTGAGACCCTCTCCTTCTTGGAACTGTTCTCTACTCACCACCTAGTCCTCCTTCCCTACCTCTCCTGTCCTGTTACATCTCTGCTTACTTAGCTCTAGCATATCACTTGTCACCTTACTGTTTATGTGTCTGTCTCCCCACTCTCACTCCTTTTCTCCTGCTTCCCCCTCCCCCTCCAGGGTCAATCACTGTGGCTTAAATCACCTGTGGATCCAAAAGCAGGAAAGCCCTGGTGATCAGTCGAAATCAGCTTTTAAAAGAGATAGTTAAGGGGCTGGCCTGGTGGTGTAGTGATTAAGTTCACAAGCTCCGCTTTGGCAGCCTGGGGTTTGTTGGTTCAGATCCTGGGCACGGACCTATGCACCACTTATCAAGCCATGCTGTGGCGGGTGTCCCACATATAAAATAGAGGAAGATGGGCACGGATGTTAGCTCAGGGCCAATCTTCCTCGGCAAAAAGAGGAGGATTGGTGGCAGATGTTAGCTCAGGGCTAATCTTCCTCAAACAAAAAAAAAAAGATAGTTAAATATCTTAATATAATGTGTGCTGTCGTGTTAAAAGGAAAATGTAAATCCTTGTCTAGGAAATATTCTCCATAGGCAAATGGGTATAGAAAAACATGCTGTTTTAATTAGCTGGAGAAATATATATAATATGTCAGCCAACTTGGTTGTGGATTCTATGTTGGAATCTTGTTTACCAGTGTGACAAATCCTAGGACCCATTCAACGTTAAAATGAAGCTGACACGGTACAGACGTGGCCAACGCTTTGGAGACCTGAGGGCTCCCAGAGTAATGGTATCCTGCTGGGATAGTTGCTTAGCCAGCATGTCAGTATGTGTCTATATGTGTGAGTGTGTATACATGTATGTGTTTGCTGCCTTTTTTCCCAGTTTGATGTCATTCAGATTCAAAAGTTTTTTAACTCATCATGCTTCTTCTGACTGGAGTTTTCCTCAGCAGCACTTTAATTGTGCTCACACAACCCCAGAACTTCTCGCTACACTGACACCTGTATTCTGGACATGCATTTTATCAACCCCCTGCCTTAGCCTTCATGGTTCATTGTTTGTTCTTTGAAGCTCTCATTCTGCATACATGCATGCATTTGTTTCCCAACATTTATTTTTGAAAGTTTTGCCATATTTGTTCCCAGTATAAATTTTCCAGCTTTACCTGCTATTGACTTTCAAGATGCTCACTGCTTTTGTACTTAGTGTGCACCTATCACCCTTGATGAAGTGATAAGGTCAAGGTTACTTCTAAGGCAACTCTAAACTGAGCTCTGCAGACACACAGGAGACCTCATGGACATGGTGGTGGCTGACACACTGGTCCTCTACTCAGCATCCCCACCGCCTGAGAGTGGTGAGTGGAGTTGACATACTAATATTGTCAGTGGAGTTTTGCTGGACACTTTGAAAGTTAAGTTGAAACTTTATAAGATAATAAACAAGATTGTTATCAGGTGATTTGAATTTTCTTTTGTATGCTGGTAATTTTTCAAACTTTCTATAATAAACACGTTTCTTTTATATTTGAACAACAAAGTATTTTAAAGAGGCATGGAGTATCAGTGTGATGGAGTACATTAGCAGATAATCCTCCAGTTACAAAAGAACCGGAAATAGTTGATAAAATAAAACAGTTGGCCATTATACATGCATGGAGAGGTGAGATCACATAAAGGTCATGCTTCTCCATGTCTCCAGTCGTAGTCAGCTGACTCCAGGAC